GACCCTGTCTCCAAAGACTGTGTGTGTGTAAAGTATGGAATTATACTTGAACACAAGTTTGGTACATTTGCTTATAATATTATTCTCTGTGTTTATAGTCATTCATCACATAATGATGTTTTAGTGAATGACAGTATATATGACAGTGGTCACATGAGATTTAAGGAACTGAACAATTCTCATTGCTTAGTGACACTACAGCCATCATAATGTAGTAGCCTAAGGTAATACTTGTTTGCAGTGCTGATATAAGCAAACTTACTGTGCTGCATATCATATAAAAAAGTACAATACACATAATTATATACATTACATAACACTTGCTAAAGATAATATACAACTACATTACTGGTTTACATATTTACCTTTTATTAATAAAGTGTTCCTTTTTTTAAGCTTACTGTCAAACAGTACGTCCTGCGGCAGAGGCAGCTTTATACAATCATGTTTACTGTCTTTTGATAGCATCATTTTCCGTTTGGGCTTGATTTAACGTTGAGTTTTATTCTCCCTGGAGCAACAGACCACTGCATACTTACTTAGTCCAGATAGCCTTGGTCTGAAGGACTGGCTGTTATTTCAGGTTGTGTAAGTACACCTATGATGTTCAAACAAAGAAGCATTTCTCAAAAGGTAAGTCGCCCATGACTATACACCTATTAAAACTTTTCATTTAAAATTTTAGAGCCTGCAGAGCTGGTGGATTTAGGTTTGCCTGATCGATCAGTTTTTCACGCATACCCTGCCACTCTGCAGGTATCGTTCTAAGGAGTGTTGTTTTTATGCCCGAGGGCCTTCACACATTTATGAATGCTACAACTCTGCCCTGTTTACCGTGCCATATTCCTGTTTCCTTATACAAAAGGCCGAGATTAATAACGCACAGCAGCCAAGCAGGGAAACTGCGCATTAGCATCAAAAAGCTTCAGCGTTCTCGCTCACTAATTATTGGTTAGAAAACTGTACCCTACGCAGGGCTTAATTACAGACGAGTGTAAACGACAAGCCATCTGGGTCGCGCCGCACACAGGCACTTTTGGGACTGGGCTGACAGGTTCCGGGAACGCAGGGAAACTACAAATCTCAGAATGCAACGCTCCAAAGAGAGCCAAGAAGAACGAGGAGTGTCGCGATGCACTCTGGGGTTTGTAGTCACGGACGCGCCCGGCAGTCTCCGCCCGGATACTTACCCGATCCAGCCACTATCAAGAGACCGAGGGACTCTCGGGGCGTGACGTTCTGAAACCGAAGCACTATCCATAGTCTCAGGATGAACACCACCGCCGTGGCTCCCGCCACAGCCAGAATCAGAACCCACACCATGAGAAGGAATGGCTCATGCTTAGTGTTTCCTGCGCCAGAGGTCAAAGTTCACAAGAGCGGCCCTGAGGAGGAAACGGCGAGTGACGCGACCATGTGAGCGGGGCTTGTCCGCGCTGGGCGGGGATTGAGCGAAGCTGAGAACACTGAGGGACAAGCCTCTCTGAGGGCGGGGCTTGTCGGCGCTGGGCGGGGCTAAGCTCCAGAACTTTAGTGGCTGCCTTCCTAGATTTTGTGCCCTGACTCTTCAAACCTAACTTGGAACTGGGAAGTTAAGCGCTGGAAAAGTTTGGTTTCCATCAGTGACAGGTCAGGCCATGTGCTGGAAATGCCCGAAGCTACCATGTAACCAGAGGCTTGAGCTCCAGCAGCTTTTGCTGAGGCTTCTTCATCCCTCTCTTCCTCCCTCTCCTCTTGAAAGAGAAAGACTTCTGTTCCACATACAAACAGAACTGATAATGTTTGCCAGTTAGAGGTACCCTGGGGGGAAAACATGAAAAATTGCTTTTTCCCAATACTCATATTTTAGGCCAGTTTCACAGATCTCAAACTTTGACCAGAACTGGGATTGCCTCAAGCTACATACACCATGTTCCTGAGAGAAGAGTTAGCTGGTTGGGGCAAGGTAGCAACAGAGGGCTGGCATAGGCTTACAAGGAGTAGTCAACCTTACTGCAAACCATTCCTGGTTTTATGTTTGCTGAGACGATGGTCTGCAAACATCTCCAATCACCATTTTGCCAGTGTTCATGTCCTACTCAGTCCACATTACAGCAACGTAGAAATTCCTACAGTTTAGAGAAACCTTTTGAGTCTGTATGTGATTTTCCTTCCGACCCCTATAGGCTAGAAGGGGCAGGCAGACTAATGGTTAGACAAGTACAGAAAGATACAACAACCTAGAATAGTGTCAGATCTAGAATTAGGAACCAGAAATCCTAACTTTTTTTTTTTTTTTCGGTCTTTTTTTGAGACAGGGTCTCCCTGTAGCCCCAGCTGTCCTGGAACTCACTATGTAGACCAGGCTGGCCTTGAGCTCACAGATTATTTCTTTTTTTTTTTCGGTCTTTTTTTGAGACAGGGTCTCCCTGTAGCCCCAGCTGGCCTGGAACTTGATATGTAGACCAAGCTGGCTTCGAACTCACAGAGATCTACCTGCCTCTGCCTCCCAAGTGCTGGGACTAAAGATGTGTTCCACCGGGCCGGCTCAGAAATCCTAATTCTGGCTGCATAAGAATATTATATCATGACCCCATGTTGACAAATCCTTTGGTATTTGATTTCTTATTCCTAACCCCCACCCCCTTAAACTTCATTGTAACCTGCTTTAAGTTATTTCAGGAAAAATGAGTTTAAAATTGCCTCTCTTTGGAATAATAAAAATATTCTAATACTAAAAGAAGACTTATCCAGGAACATATCCCCAGAGATATATGTCCCCAGTGATTTCAAATCCAGGCAAATTTTCAACAAAAATCAGTCACTACAGTGGTATATTATGCAGCCTAAGCGCTGTTAAAGAATCCAGATATATAAACTCATAGTAAGAAAAGTCTCAGAGGCAATTTCATGAAATATGTAGGAAACTGGTCTACCACTGAGTCACACCCTAGCCCTAGGGTAGGCACAAGTTTGTAGACAAGAAACCCAATCAGTGATCACCAGTGAGCCCTATGCACCAGAAGTGCATAGGAAATATGGAATGATTTCTAATAAGTACAGGTTTCCTTTTAGATTGGTGAAAACAGGGAATAAGAAATGGTTTCCAGCAGCTGGGCATGGTGGCACATACCTTTAATCCCAGCACTCAGGAGGCAGAGGCAGGCAGATCTCTGTGAGTTCAAGGCCAGCCTGTTCTACATAGTGAGTTCCAGGCCAGCTGGGGCTACAGGGAGACCCTGTCTTAAAAAAAGAAAAAAAGAAAAAAGAAATCATTTCTAATGGGTGAGGGTTTCCTTTGGTGAAGATTAAAACTGGTTGTGAGATGGTGGCACAGCTGTGAAGATACTTTCAAAAGTGAATTATAATCCTTCAAAATGGAAAAAAAAAGAATATTACATCATACTTACATACATACATACATCCTTGGCTAAAACAAAGCTTGATTGGTGGTCAAGTTTATCCGGAACCTAGAATGCTTTTGGAAGTGCAGACTTCCTGGGTGTACCAGTGAGCTACTGAATCAGAATTTCCAGAGAGGCTGCTGGGATCCTCTTAGAAAACCAGTGTTTTGATTCCTAAGTCAGCCAGCAGGCTTAGGAGACTTCTTGAGTTTGTCCTTTTTTGGTTCATAGACTTCACAGCACTTTGCCTCTTAACCCCATTCTTAACAATAAGGCCCTAAGTAGATACTATATTTTGCTTTACAAATAATAGATTGCACAAAAGTTAAACAGTTGCCTGAGGTTACTTAGTTGTGGAGAAAGTTCATAATTGGAGACTTAGAGATCAAATTTTGATGCAATCAGAATTTCCTAAATTTAGAAATTCATAGTTGGAAGCCAGATGTACAAAGGCCCCTGCTGCAATATTCTAGGGAGTTGGCTCAGTGAGTAAGTGTTAGCTGGGAAAGCAACCATGAGGACCTGAGTTTGAATCTCCAGCACATAGAAAAGTCAGGCATGATAGAGGACTCCTGAGGCTTGCTCACCAAAGGTCTAGTCAATCATTGAACTCCATGGTCAATAAGAGACTCTGCCTCAAAAAATAATGTGGGCCTAGAGAGATGACTCTGCTCTTGTAGAGGACCTGGGTTTGATTCCCAGCACCCACACAGCAGCTAACAACCATCCATAACTCCAGTTCCAGAGGATCTGATGCCTCTTCCAATCTCCATGAACACTGCACGATGGGTGCACTTACACACATGCAGGCAATATACTCATACACACAAAATAAATAAAAGTATAATGTGTGTAGGGCTGAGCATGGTGGCGCACACCTTTAGTCCCAGCACTCGGGAGGCAGAGGCAGGTGGATCACTGTGAGTTCAAGGCCAGCCTGGTCTACATAGTGAGTTCAGATAAGTTGGGACTACAGGGAGACCCTGTCTCAAAAAGACAAAAATCAATCAATCAGTCAATAATGTGGGAGATCTCAGCAGACCGCCAGAGTGCCTGTTCTGGCCTCCGTCTGGCATAGGGACTGAGAACTCAGGGGACCCACCTGAGAGCACCTGGATCCTGCCCCCATGTGGTGATAAGAGTTATGCAGTTTGGGAGTCTTTTAGACCCACTGAAGGGTTACACCAGTTGCCCCACCCTGCGTCCCTGTTCAGCATGGAAGAAGCCAGAGCAGTCTGCATCCTGATTCCCTATCAATAATTTGGGTAACCTCTTCAGAGGATGATGTGATAAGGATAGGCGGTAGGAATTGGCTAAGCAATTAGGGTAAAAAGACTCCAAAGAAAACTAACCAGTTTCGTGGCTAAAGTCAAAATGTCTTTGGGCCTCTTAGCAGCATACTCTGTTCCAAAGGCCAAAAATGTCAAAAGTATTTGGGAGCTCTTATCTATTCCCTAAAAAATTTTCAGGTTACCTCTTCGGAGGAGGGATGTTAGAGTAGTAAAAAGCCCCATAAAAAAGAAAGAGAGAGAGAGAGAGAGAGAGAGAGAGAGAAAGAAAGAAGAGAAAGAAAGAAAGAAAGTACATGAAGTTGTCAGAAAAAAGTGATAGGGAGGTATGGGAGGTATTGGAGGGGAGGGATTGGGCATGGATTTGATCAAAACACCTTATATGCATGTATGAAATTCTCAATAAAGTTTAAAAAAATAAAATAATGTGAAGAAGAAATTGAGAAAGACACCCAATGTTGACCACCCATACACACACACAACACACACACACACACACACACACACACAAAGGCTCAAGAGTGTTACAAAGAGTCTTTTTCTTTCTTCAGCTTTCTCTGGCATTCCTCAAAATAATTCAACCTAACAGAGTCTTAACTCTCTTCACACTTAAAAGATGTTACTAATCCCAGAAATTACAACTACACAGGGCAATTGCCAGAGTCCAAAGAGAGGCTGTTATTGTCATTGGGTCTTTATTAAGGAAAGGATATCTTTTCTAGACTTTCTATCACTCTTTTAAGCGATATTTATATTACTTACCCATATATAAAAGAAGAGATCTCAAAGCTGGTGGAGGTAGGAATGGAGGATGACCTGGAATTCTGTTATGGTAAAGACCATTGTCTGCAGGGTGGGTGCTGGAGAGGGGGAAGTTGAAGAAGGGAGGGTTGCTGGGTAGGCAGTAGTAGTGTCTGGATTGCTGGGAAAATGTATGTTTGTAAACAAGTTTCTATAACAAGTGTCTATTATTCATACATATTTTAAAAGTAATTAGAAAGTTGGAATTTTCAGTATTCTATAGGATTGCATATGCTAATTTATTAAACATATTTAATGAGCATCTGAGAAGTGCTACATACTATTTTAGGTGCAGGCCATGTCATATAAACAGGACAGTAGGCCAGGAAAGAATCTTGGACTAGAGAAGATGACAGTGGAGGTTGATCAGAAGAGATTTGAAATGTACATTATATGTGTAGTCGGTAAAACTTGTTAACAGATTAGATATTGTGGATGAAGAAAAAAGAGGAATCAAAATAACAGTAGATGTTTGGTTTCCAAACTGGTTAGATGGTGTGATCCAATGGAGGAGAAACAAGCTGTTGTGGGCGGAAGAAGGGGGAAAAGGATGAAAACATGTTCTGTGTTGGATTTTAGTTCAAATAGCCTGTTAAGACATCCAAGTACTTATATCAAATAGGCAGTTTTATGTTCAGATCTGAAGCTTGGGTCAGATCTAGAGGTATAAATTCAGAATTCATTAGCATATAAGTGGCATCTATAAGTCATGGGGCTGGGTAAGCCCTCTAGTGATTTTAAGTCAGTCCTGTCTAGTAGAGCTTTTTGTGATGATGGAAATGTTATTTGCCTATGTTGTAAGCTATTCACATGTGCCTAGCAGCACTTGTAATATGGCCGGTGCAATTGAGACCTGAACTTTAATTTTGTTTCATTTACATCATTTAAAATGTAAATAGACACGTGTAGCTAGTTGCATTAGTTATTTATTTCTCATTGCTGTCACAAAA